GGAAGTGGAATAGGGCAAGCTAGGGTGATTCACTTTCATGCTTCATTTGAACAAGGAAGTAGTAAGGCAAAATATGACTTAGGTGTTTATCTTGAAATGTATGCCTACTTACATGTTTATCCAAACAATTAAAGTGCATACTATTTGAGCAATGTTTCACAAAGCAGACTAAAGGGTATGCAATACTGTACTGCTCAGGGCCAGATTGGGCTGGAGGAGGTCCAGAACCCATTCACCCACTCAAAAAAACTTACACACACACACACATGTACAGTCACCTATCACTTGAAATTTAACAATCGTTTTATTCTTGCACATGTTTATTGGGTATTATGCACACATTGAATAAATAGACATATATACTTTCACTTTGGTGTGCTTTCAAGGAAAGTCAGAGCCCTTTTGAAATTTTGGAACCCCCCCCAATAAAAAACTTAACCTGATCTGGCCCTGCTGCTCAATTAAATTAAAATGAAGATAGCAATTATTGACAAATAAAGGACATTTTTATCAAAGGAGATTTCTTTTTTAACAAAATGAATTCAAAATTTGCTTCAGGACAAGTACTTCATTACAATTTTCTATATTTTCTGTAGTGGCCTATTTGATGACTTATTGGGTTAATAATTCAAACTGATACATCAATAAATATTTAATTTATACCCATCCACTCACACATACAGGAGCTAGATTGGAAGCAAAACTGAATCAAGCCATGAAAGACTTTAATTTTGTTCCAAATTTTGTTCAGCAACATATGAACTAGTTGCACCAAAAATATATAATTTTCCATTTTCAATATTCATATCATTATTATACTGAAAAAATTAATTTGCTGCTTTTAAAAACTTTATATTATATAAAATGATACTGATGACAATATTTTTTAGTTTTAATTTTATTTAAATTTGCTGTTTTCTTTTCCTCCCAGTTATTTTTAATAAACACATGATTACAAAGAATATATTTTCTGTATGGATCACACTAAATCAGCTCCCATACTAAATCTATGCAAACAACCATGATATTAAAAATTAAACAATTTTGCATTTCTGAATGCTCATGATCAAAAATATATTTATCAGTATAGACACATCACTGATGATAGTTTTTTAGTTTTTGTATAAAGAAACCATATTAAGCAATAGCATTTTCTATATATATATATATATATATATATATATATATATATATATATATATATATATATATATATATATATATATATATATATATATAAAACATGTGCTTTTATTTCTGTACCAAAGAGTCAGGTAAAAATTTCAGTAATGAGTTTTCCAAAACTCAAGTATGTTAAAGGACTGAAATTCTATCAATAAATCAATATCTGTTTTTCTGATACAATAAAGGTTAAGTTCTCAAAAGAGTTTTTTTTAGTAAAATCTTTCTTTTATTTTTAACTAATCTTGGTCAGCCAAACCAATATATATACTTTATTGTATCTTTACTTTTTTCACTCACTGGTTCCCATTCTTCCATATCATTAGCATCATGAGTCCTATGTTATGTGTGTAGGATTGTACAAAAGTAACAAGAAAAGAATGAAGCCAATGAGCATTCTAAAATTTAACAAATAATTTATTTCCAAAGAAAAGCAAGAAAAAAATTAGAAAAAAACTTTATGAATCAATCCAAAATTAATCCCAGAATTAAAAAAATTATAAGCCCTATCAAATAAAAGTCCTAAGTCAATCACAGTTTGAATCCTAATGAAATTACAAGATGGAAGGCACTGTCATCATTGATGGTCTGCTTTGTCCTGATATGTCAACAGTTCTTTGTTAAATCACAAAGAAATAATATTCCTGTTTAGAATTTCTGAATAAATTTTGATAAATGCCTTTGTCCAAGAATTCTGATGAACATTAGTATTTTCTAGGAAAAGAATCAATAATTCAAAAAAAAAAGATTCAACTCAAACTGGTCACAACAAAACACCTTAGTTTTGGAGATTTAAAGCCCAACTGGCTATTCTTCTCAAGAAAATGACTATACAGTAAATTAAGATACAAAACAGATTCCTAGATGAGGATCACATGATCACCTCTTAGCAGAAAAACGTAGAAACATGTACATACCTTAAATCATGTACTCTAGAATGGCCTTAGCTAAAATCAATGGTTTTACAATAGAAATGAATAATAAAAAAGTTGTTTACTCCAAATCTGACATTGGTTCTGAATCTAGATCATCAAAAGATTCAGTGTTTCAAACTACTGACTGTTTATCAGGTCAAACAGAAATGAATTGAATTTCTACAAATAATCAAATTTGGTAGGCAAAATTATCATTAAAATAACATGTAACACAATAAAATAAAAAAAATTTAAAACCAACATACAAATAAATTACTTAGACATAAGATCTATATCCACCCTTGATTTACTTGACAGACTAGTAGTAGAATGCATAAGTAAACAGTGATAAATAGCAATGGTGCATTTCATGTAACAAAACTGTTTGGGATTCATTTCAGAAAATCAGAAAAATATATTGAAATAAATGTTTCTAATTGTGAGTTACCAATTTACTATCAATATTGATCTCATTTCAGTTTAAATCAGTCTTGTCATATTATGCAATAAATGAACCAAAGGTCAAGGTGATCATAAAAATGTACATATATGACTACAGAAATGGAGACCTAAATGACAGAAATGACCTAATATTAGCCCCAGACAACACTAATTTAAAACTAAAGGTAAGCCTAAGTCAATTAATATACCAAATATGAAGTTTCAAAACATTAAATGAAATTTAGGTGGGACACAAATTCATGAGAGGTCAACACCATTTAACAAAGTAAAAAAAGACCTAAATTGATCATATCTGATGCAACATGTTTCAGAATACAACTTGGAAATATCACATTGCTAACTATAATTACTATATAAATGGTAAATTATATAAACTTTATATATCTTATTGTATAGATATTAATCTATATACAAAAGACTGCACCTACCATAACCATATCTGCACACTCTACACAATGAATGCCCTCTCCCCTTTTTGTGGCAACAGTTGCTGCATCTAAAAGTGTGTTTAATATTCCATTGAAAGTCACTGTGAGTTTTACAAAAGGTATTCATTTTTGTTGGTTATCCGCAAACAGAACCATATCTTTACATTTATAGTAAAGTTCATTGTGCATGCATATGTGGAACTGCTGTAGAGGTGCTGTTCTCCATAAGACTCACAGTACTAATTTAGCCTCCCACAGTAAAGTCTATGTAAACACCATGATATAATTCAATAATTTTAAAGTTTTGAATGCTCATGAACAAACCTGTATTTGTTATCATAGACACATCCTAGATGAAAGCTTCTTTGTAGAAAATACAATATGAGCTGTGGCATTTACTGGTTCTACATGTTTGAAACATGTTTCTTCAGTTCAACATCAAAGTGTCAGGTGTTGATTTCAGTAATGAGTTTCCAAACTTGAGCTTGTTAAAGGACCAAAATTCCATCAATAAACAATGCATCTTTCATTTTCAGTTACAAGAAGGATAAACTTTCTCCAATTTCTATGACTGGTTCCCATTCTTCCAAATTATTAGATTATTCTGAAGTACAATTTCAGGTACAGGTCATGATGTCTGGTTGATGATTAATACATTATATGGGCAGTTTCATATTTCTGAAGAGAATTAATGTTTGCCTAAGGTAAGAAAAACATCCAAGAATAAATTAAACAGAAATAATTTGTGTAGCCTGAAAATTAAATCATTTCTTTCAAATCAGAACTCATCATCACACTCTTTTCATTCTGTAATGCATAGATAAGTTACTGTGCTGTCCTCAACAAATTAATTCTCTGGTTATATATATATATATATATATATATATATATATATATATATATATATATATATATATATATATATATATATATATATATATATACATACATATACATGCTGGTTTTTATACAGAAATACATTTGCAAATTCCACAAGATATCAAACATATCCATCCTTTATTCATTCAAGCACTTTCACACCATTATGGTGGATGCTCTTCAGATGGATACATTATACTTCAAAGTATAGATATCACAAGTATGTGTCTATCATTTATTTCTTTACCTATATTGGGTTATATCCTTACCTTGATAATAACATGCATGCAAAGATATATCCCCACTTTCTCATGTATCTTCCACTTGGCCTTCATTAGGGTGCCATATACAAATCCCATATGATACAAACAAGGGACTTTGTACAACTAACATCAGTGTGTCAGCAGAAAGTATCTAATTTAATTTAGAGTTTTCAATCACAAATTATTCCTCCACCATTTTCCCATTAAAATGCTGAAAGTTACTCATAGCCTTTCCTTACAAGTATATTTTTCTTGATTCATATATCCCAAGTGATGAGAGCATCTGCCAGGGATGCAGGAGGTTATGGTTCAAATCCTAGCCAAGTCATATCAAAGACTTAAAAAAAAGGTACTTAAAGCTGCCTCACTAGGCACTCAGTATTAAGAGGTTAGTGTTAGGACTGGTCGATCTGGTGTCAGGATAATGCAACTAGGCGGTATATGGTGCTACATGTCTGTGGCATGATGCCTCGGTGATAAATATCACTATAAATTGCCATACTGCAGACTTTGTAGTGATATGATTGAAAAAGTATTAAAGCCACATTAAAAATCCAAATCACACACATACACACTCAAATTGCCTCCCTCACTTTGCTGTATTATACAGACATTCCAAAATGTGATGTGATATAATGTGATTGTGATTTTTTACATAGCTTTAAAAAATTTTCAGTCATATCGCTACAAGGTCTGCGGTGTGGCAGTTTATAGTGATGTCTAGCACTGGGGCATCATGCTACAGACATGCAACACGATGTCACACCCAGTCACATTATCCTGACACCAGGTCAACCAGTCCTAACACTAACCTCTTAATGCTGAGCATCAAGCGAGGAAGCTGTTAGTACCATTTATGTAAGTCTTTGCTATGACTCAACTGGGGATTGAACCCATGACCTCCTGTATTTAAGGCAGATGTTCTAACCACTAGGCCACAGGAGAGGTTCTAATTCCAAAATGCCTCAATCACTTTGCTACTGTACGCAGTGTACAATTCCAAAATGCCTCCCTCACATTTGCTTCATTTTACAACCATTATGCAATTCCAAAATGCCTCCCTCACATTTGCTTCATTTTACAACCATTATGCAATTCCAAAATGCCTCCCTCACATTTGCTTCATTTTACAACCATTATGCAATTCCAAAATGCCTCCCTCACATTTGCTGCATTTTACAACCATTATGCAATTCCAAAATGCCTCCCTCACATTTGCTTCATTTTACAACCATTATGCAATTCCAAAATGCCTCCCTCACATTTGCTTCATTTTACAACCATTATGCAATTCCAAAATGCCTCCCTCACATTTGCTTCATTTTACAACCATTATGCAATTCCAAAATGCCTCCCTCACATTTGCTTCATTTTACAACCATTATGCAATTCCAAAATGCCTCCCTCACATTTGCTTCATTTTACAACTATTATGCAATTCCAAAATGCCTCCCTCACATTTGCTTCATTTTACAACCATTATGCAATTCCAAAATGCCTCCCTCACTTTCTATTGTACGCGGTGTACAATTCCAAAATTCCTCTCTCATATTTGCTATAGTGTGCAGCCAGTATACAATTTCAAATTGCCTCCCTCACATTGCTATAGTATGCAGACAGTCTACAATTCCAAATGTGCCCTCAATTGGTATAGCATATAGATAGTTTGCACTTATTTTGCCTCATGATTTAAGTAGAATTATATTTTTTAATTGGAAATCCTAATCTGTTTGCAACACAGCATTATTAAATGACCACCTGTCCAACACATACAAAATTAGGTCCAGTTAAAGTGAGCAAAGAAAACCAGCTTTTTCCAGGGGTCACAAGAATCTCTCCCAAGGGTAGGTCTCAACAAAGATTTGACTAAAAATTTTTAGGTATCTGCATTGATGCAGTGAACATCAAAACATAGTCTAAGCAAGTTAGAATAGAAAATATATTGCGTGTCAGTATACCTTGATTTATCATGTGTTTCAATGCAAATGGATGCTTCCTATGTAAGAAAAGCAAAGACTACTCATCCATTTCTTGTTTGTAGAATAGTCAATGTCGGTAAAACTTGTGTTGTCTGCATCCAATATTTGCAATATCTAGTTATATTATTTTTAAACAAGCTGAAAAAATAAACAGGAGAAACTCGTGTGTGTGTGTGTGTGTGTGTGTGTGTTTGTGTATTAAATTCAAAATTTCTGAAATTATTGAGATTATGAAAGAAAGCAAACTATATCATATCTGCCACTGGAATATATAGACTGACCCAAGCAAATTTGGTGATCATGTTGCTAAAGAAACCAGGTTTACTCAAAATACCAACAGACTGACAGTGTTTGTGATCTCCTGATGATAATCAGATTGTGACTTACAAATTAATGAATGAAATGACAAGGTTGTATCCTTGATGCCTTCTGTTTTTAAAATCAGTAGGAGTTAACAAAACAAAAGGTATGGTGCGAGATACTATAATTATGGTCTGATACTTGGAATATTGATGGTTCTGTTACAGTACATACTGTATAAGCACACACACACACACACACACACACAAACACACATATATATATATATATATATATATATATATATATATATATATATATATATATATATATATATATATATATATATATATATATATATATATATATATATATATAAGGAAAGACAATTTTACTGGACTTTTTGAGGCAACTTACAATTGTGGCAAATTTTCATTATTCTAAAATAACTTAACCCCTATAAAAACAAAATGAAAATATGACATTTTTGCGCAACTTTGAGATAATAAAAAGGTAGTGTTATTGTTTGTTCACATAATGTTAGCCAGTTTCTTGACCCTTGGAACTTAATTTTTGATATTTGGACAGTTATGTTGGGGTGTAGAGTCAGAGTTCATTGTCTATCGAAATGTTGGAATTCGCCAGCACCATTTGGTGTCGGGATAGGGTAGCCACTTAATAGCTGGCCTAGTAAACTTTCAGGATCATTCATCGAGTTATACCATTATGAAATCGATAGGAATATGATTTATTTTCTTAGATATTGCGAGAATAGCATTCGTGATATCTTCAATCTGATGGTGTCAAATAGTGTCGGCGAATTCCAACATTTCGATAGGCAATGGACTCTGACCCTACACCCCAACATAAATATCAAAGTATCAAAAATGGTGTGGCAACGGTCTGAGGAAACTCAGACTAGTATCAGCAAAGGGGTCTTACGTTTTATCGGTAATGTACGACGAAATCTCTGACAAAAAAAGGTGATTTCATGTTGTCAGAGATTTCGTCGTATTTTAGTTTATTGATAAATCGTCAGACTCCTGTGGTTTCATGTATGGCTCTAGTTTTCAGGAGGAAAGTAGCACAAGTTCGAGTATAAATCTGCAGTCATGCTCGTATAACAATATGCTTGACCCGTGGTATATGTTGTTGACGTGTCGCTACGATAGTAAGGGAGGGAAGCTGTTACATGGTCTAATTCGCAGACCTGTAAGTGCTTAGGTCAGTAGGTGATCAGTTTTAAAAAAAAAAAAAAAAAAAAAAAAAACAAGAAAAAAAAAACAACACACAAAACGGAACTTGTGAAGTTTGATGTATATACTGATAAATAAAGGACTTCTTTTTAAAAACTCTTAACTGCATCGTTTGTAACGTCTTTTGTCACATGATCCAACGATAGCATTATGTCTCCATTAGAAGATATTGAATTTGCATATTTCTACAGTAAATCGTACCATGTCCGCCATTTTGTTTGATTAGTCCTAGCCTCATCTTCGCTAGCCAAGGTTCCACTACGTTAGAGAGCATAAACTTATTGAAACCTTTGCTAGCTAAAATGATTTTTGCCTAGGGCAAGTGTTTGAATAGACGACCTAAGGTCGCTTTGGTTTTTTCAATGTCGTTGCAACTATCAATTGCCTCATATCCTGTAAAGTGTTTACTTCTATTAATATGATTCATATTTTGAAACGCATCTTTATTCAATATATAACAAAGTACGATCTTACGATACTGTACTGCTTCAGTGGAAAAACAATAATAACAATAAAATGGCACAGCTACTGGACGTCTACAAAGACTAAAAAAAATTACAGAAAAAATAGTGATGCTGTAAACTTGAAATAAAATATAGTCAGCAAATGCTTTGTTTGTGAACACATTCAGGTAAATAATTAAGTTTAAATAAATTTTTGTCAGCTTATCAGTAAATCAACTTGATGTGTAATTTGCAGAAAATCAATTTTTGTCAGCTGAGGTTGTTTTTCTGCCAGCTATGCCATATTTGATATGAATCTGATCCATACATATAAAAAGATTAATATAAAAATCCTATACACGCCGAAACGTGGAAATATGCTGTTGAATACTGAACTGTTAGTTCCTGAATGACTGACACATAAGTGCATGTTTGTTTACACTGTTACCGATTACAGATTTTGTGCACGTTTGCTTTCAGTAACTTAAACTTTCATTTGCACGTGAAAGCATCGCAGCCGTTGTACGTAATGACGTAATTTTACATTTATTACTTATGTTTACACTTACAAAATAAGAATTGCTGTAATGACCAATGGTGTGAGTATACCGAAATGACAGGGGTTGGGAGATGTGTACCGTAAAGATAAAGATCAAAATCTACTTGTACCATTGGCAACGACCCAAGTTTCTTTGTAAACTGGTTACGTTAAGATATTAAACTATGCACTGAACAAAGCAAGCGAAACATACAATTCAACATAGTTTTTGGTTATTTAATCCTTAGCTCCACCTTATTACCAATATTAGCACCTTAGCCCTACCTTGTGGACACGACAACAAAACAAGTTGAGGCTACGACATCGTAGCTAGCTCCACCCCCCCCTCTCTCTCTCTCTCTCTCTCTCTCTCTCTCTCTCTCTCTCTCTCTCTCTCTCTCTCTCTCTCTCTGTAGCTCAGCGCATTTTCACTTGATCGTCTCGACATAACGTTAAAATTACACAATTATCATGCGAATGGTTTTAACCCAAATGTTATCAATATACAAGGTAGTACCACTCTTTTAGCACAGAGAGAGAGAGAGAGAGAGAGAGAGAGAGAGAGAGAGAGAGAGAGAGAGAGAGAGAGAGAGAGAGAGAGAGAGAGAGAGAGAGAGAGAGAGAGAGAGAGCAGTCTGCCATTATGGTCCTGAGTGCTCCATTATTTTAAGAGTCCTTTTTTTTTCAAATTAGTTCTGAGATGTGTGTCCCAAGAACAGCTTTCACATTTAAATTTCTAATACAAAAGTGACACAGAAAGTTACTGTTAGAACCAGAGATCGTTTGGAAGCAGTCCACAAGATACCACAGCGAAATGATTAATCAATAAACCTAGAAAATATTTTACATCGAATACTTTATATGTGTGCATCGCCTCCTTGCCTGGAGCCCTGTATCTCATCATGTTCTACGGAACATTATGGTAAACATGTTTTACTAGGCTAGTCACCATCATCCTAATATGCACATACACTAATAGTTTGGAAGTCAGGGAATAAAAAAGACCATCCATATATATATATATATATATATATATATATATATATATATATATATATATATATATATATATATATATATATATATATATATATATATATATATATATATACATACATATATATATATATATATATATATATATATATATATATATATATATATATATATATATATATATATATATATATATATATGCCACACAATTAGTTGGATTCTTCGCCCCGTTCCGCCTCTTCACATTTCGTTATAAAAACTCAGATCCCTCGTATATGACGTCATACCCTACCAAAATCGCCATAGCAAATAAAAATGAAAAAATGCAGTTCGCTTTGACAATCAATATATCGCTGCCTTTTGAATCATTTAATACTTAGAAAATAAAAAAAATATTTTAATCAATCCACTTTTGGTCCTCTGGAATGTATACTAAT